CAGGCGGGGCGTTTAAATTATAGCGCTAGACACGAAATCATATATAAATGATGTGCGCGGTTTCGGTTTTGTCACTGATATCATTTATATATGATATGCGCGGTTTGAGGGTTAAGCAGTATATTCCTTCCAAACGAAACAGATTTGTATTTAAATTCTTTGTACTGTGTGACTGTATAACAGGATACGTGTTACACATGATTCTGTATTCAGCTAGCGATGTAGACATTCCCGGTAACGATGAACATGGTTCCTCTGGTAGTGTGGTGAAGTCACTGATGGCACCATGGATGAACAAGGGGCACATCCTAGACACAGATAATTAATATACAAGTCCATTACTAGCTAGGTTCATGATTGAAAATAGAACTGGATTGGTTGGCACAGTAAAGGCATGAATAAGGGAAATGCCAGTGTTTGGTGGTGAACTTGCAGTTGGTGAGTGCCAGGCACGGAAATGTGATCAAATACTCTCGGTACGGTGGAAAGACAAGAGAGAAGTGAACCTGCTGACAACCGTTCATGAGGGTACAATAGTGAACAGTGGCAAGGTGCACCGTGTAACGAGAGAATCAGTATATAAGCCAGATTGTGTTCTTGACTACAATATCAACATGCGTTTGATTGATAAGGCTGACATGATGATTGGCACTATCGAGTGTGTGTGGAAAATATTGAAATGGACGAAAAAAGTGTTTTCCCATCTTGTTGACATGAGCATGTTGAACTGCTATAATTTGTATCTTGTGAAAATGGACGTAAACCTATTTTCCGTTCATTTGCTTTTACACTTTCAACACAGTTATTAGCAAAGTTTGGTCAAGACGTCCCTGCCATACGAAGACCAATCATGAACCCAGTGTTGCAGCATGCTGCAACACCCAGGCTCGCTCATATAAATGCCTTTCAGCAACAAAGACTAAAGAATTTGCCAGCAGGTGGAAAGCGTGCAATAGGCCAACGTGCATGCCTAGTATGTAAAACAACAAAACGGAGAGAACAGAAATGTAAAATGGTGCAAACATGGTGTGAAGGGTGTGCAGTTGCATTGTGTGCTGTCGACTGCTTCAATGACTACCACTCACTCCAAGATTTTTATATGTGCAATAATAATGCAAAAACCTGTACAAAGTGTGTGCTATGGTGTACATATAAAATAATGAACATTGTGATTACATAATATAATTTCGTAATAGAAAACATTTGTGTGCGCATGTGTATACTCGATGTATGCAACATTCATTGACAATAACTGTGAAGTAACATTATCTGCAACACAATTATTGACTAATACTGCAAAGAATACAGGCCTAGAGACTGTAAATAATGACACGAAAATAAATTCATGGCAACTCTGGCTGCTTGAAGACCGCGTGCGACGCCTCTGGGACGCATCGTGCATGAGCGAACATGCAAACTGTGACGTCATCACCCATCTTGTCGGCTCAATTACGTTGCCGGTAAGAACAATTGATTTATTTTTTATTTTTCCCGTGATCAAGGAACACGACTTAAAAGGTTAGGAAGAAAAAGGTTTTTTTTTTGTATGCGACTGTGGGTGTCAAATGGTATATAGCCATGCGCCATTTAACCCTTAAAGTGCGCATTACGTCATATGACGTGTTGGACGTTGTTCCAGTCAACTGCGCATCACGTCATGTGACGGGTTGGAGTACTACGCGAGATTTAAACGGCCCGCGGATACATGGGGTTCACCACACCTTCATCAGGGCTCTTGTAAACAGACGCCATTTTAAAAAAAAATCGTGGGCCAAACTCCCGGGTGTTATTGGCCTCAGTATTGAGTGAACAACCAAGCCTAACGCACGCAGCATGAGCTAACAGCACTGCTGTTCAGCTTGTGACCACAGCATCGCCTAAAAATGCCAAAATATACTTGTTCATGCTATTATGTAGCGATGATATTATTACAGAAGACCCCTGACTGTGATAAAACTGATCAGGGTTCTGATAATAGCAGGATTGTGGTGATATTTAGCGCTGTGCGCCATGGAGGGAGGAGTAATGCTGTGGGAGGGAGGGTGGTGGCGATGTCTTCTGACTGTGTGTGGCCACCTTTTATTGACTGCACTCACCATACCAGCTTAGTGGTTCGCTATGGTGAACACAAATGTAGATACTTATATATAATGTGTGTATAGAGGGTATAAACAGCAAGAGAAGGTTTGGAGCCGCCATTTTGGTGAGGGTGGTGGCGTCGTCTGCACGACGCCACTGTGCAGACGACGGTGTTGTTTACTGGTTACCACGATGGTCTTTGGGCACCATACCAGTTTATTTGTACAAGTATGGTGAATAAAACAGGTAGATATTTATATATAATGTGTGTATATAGCGTAATAACACCACACAGTATTGTTGGAGGAGAAATATTAGTGCGTCTGGCCTTGAGGGCGGCAGCCATCAGCTGACTGTGTGAGGTCCTACGTCTTTGTGCCTTTACTCACCATACAAGCTTAGATGTACAGTTATGGTGAACAAAACATGTAGATACTTATATATAACGTCTGTATATAGTGAATTATAGCAAAAACAGTATTGTGGGAGGAGAATGTGGGTGAGTCAGATGACTTGAGGGAGGGCGGAAGTGGCTGGCTGGTACACTGCGGTCACTCCTCGTTACTTTTTGACTCATAATAGCTACTTAGTGGTTCGTTATAGTGAACAAAACACGCAGATACTTATATATAACCTGTGCTTATAATGTAATAACCGACAAAGTATTTGTTCACTGATTGATGAACATAATTGAATCAACAATATGCACACCATATTTTTGAGTACAACAATGATTCACTCATTTTATTATATAAATATATCAAACTATACACTATTGAATAATATTACAGCAAAAAAACTATGAAAAATCAGAGACATTGAAATAATTAGGTAATTATCTCTTTGTGGCAACTCCGGCCTGACAGCTGACGAGCAACAGACCGCCTGGGATGCACGCTGAGTCAGCGCCTATAATTTGCCAGACTTCCCCACCCTATAGCGGGCAATATATGCCACTTACGATTTTTTTTATTATTTTTCCCGTGATCAGTGAACACAAATTAACAGGTTAGGAAGAAAAAATATTTTTTTTTTTTTTTTTCAAAATTACATGCGCCTGTGGGGAAGAAAGGATATTATACCCCCTAGCATGTTAAGGGTTAAGTGTCAAAAACCCTTCCCTCAGTATGGGTATGACAAAAAAAATTCGAAATTGTACTTACTTTGGCTGCTATGGGGTCCGTAAGTTTGCGTGTGATGTCATCATTCCCCGTTCACCCGTGACGTACGCTCCCGAGCCCAGTAGGGTGCCCGGGGCGAGCCTCACGAGTTACTGTGAATATATTTTTGTTCATTTTTTGTGCACAGTTCAAATACATTTTATTTGGTTTTACATGCTAATCCTATGTATAATGAACATGTACACTATATTATGGCAGCAAAACATCTGTGCTGTCCGAAGACACTGTATTATGTGCATGACACTTGTGTACAAATATGTTGCACATATTTACCATATATCATGCTAATTTATGTATATATACAATCTATTTACAGACTATACACTGTCACACACTATATACATTCACCATCAACACATTCAGAACACCGTGAGTGTGAGCTGTCACACCCAGCCAGCCCTCCCTCACTCCAACATTTACTCACCAACATTGCTTCTCCCACCATACTGTTATCGTTTTTATTACACTATTTACACATGTTATATATACCTATCTACATGTTTTATTTACCAGAACTATGCAAGTAAACCGGTATTATGTCCAAATAGTACAGTGGCCACCATACACTGCATGGGAAATCACACAGCAGACGACACTACGATTACGACATCACCTCCCTCACCAAAATAGCTCCTCTCAACATACTCCTGTTGCTGTTATTACACTATATACACACACACTGTCTATACCCATGTACATATGTGTTCCCCATAGCGAACCACGAAGCTAGTATGGTGAGCAAAACAAGAGTGGCTGCCACACATAGTGAGGCACTCTACATTCTATTCTCTCCCTTCCTCCTCACCAGAATTCCTCCTTCTATTTTCTCCCTTCCTCCTCACCAGAATTCCTCCTTCCACAATACTACGTACAACGCTAATTATAACCACAATCCTGGTCACTAATTCCTGTAAGTGAATAATTGACCACAAGTTCATTTTGAAAAGGAACCTAAGAAATCGTTTGAAGATTCCTAGATGGATGAAATAATGCTGTGGTGCTGTGAATATCGTGAACATCATTGAATCACTAATATTTGAACATTGTACCCAGTCATTATCACACTCAGGCTCTTCTATAATACTCTCATGGCTAAATAATACAGGTTATATAAATATTTTGATATTATTAGGCAATTCTGTGGTCACACACTGAGCAGCAGTGCTGTGCGCTCATGCTGTGAGCGCCAGCCTTTGGTTGCTCACTCACTACTGAGGCTCTCACACCCGAGAATGTGGACCACAATTTTGTTAAAAGATGGCGTCTGTTTACAAGAGCCCTGAGAAAGCTGATTTGAACCCCATGTAGCCGCGGGAGTTTTGAATAGAATGTGATAAATACAAATACCCGGAGGCACGTAGCGCACCCCAGACGTAGGCCTGCAGGCGCGTTGCACAGTTAAAGTGTTAAACACTTCACAAGGGTCTCTCTTACACCTCATTACAGCTCCTACAGATTTTCTCATTGATGCAGTCACATTAGTGTGATTACTTTCTGTGAATGGAAATAGTAATAATAATAATTAGCAATATTGATATGTGTACAAGAAATAATAATAAAGTAGTAGCCATTATTTGCAATCCATATACAGTACAGTGATTGAGTTACATAGTTAATGTGAATTATTTACATAAAGCATTTATTTTATACACAATTAGAGAATATTTGAAGAGAATTATGGTTTATACAGTTGATCATAAAATAGATTTTATGTTCATAATTTAAATCTTTTATGTGCAGGGATGGCGCTGGTCATATATCGTAACAGGAATGATGGGTGTTGTGGCCACCCTCTTATTCTTCTTGGTGGTGAAGGAGCCACCCAGGAGCAGTCAGGCTGAGGTCAGGTCAGTCGCACAGCTTGCAGACAATCCCATTACCACCAGCAAAGCTTCAGGAAGTGACTCTGAGGACAGTGACACAGAGATGCACAACAATGTTGCAAAGAGTATTGCGATGTCACCGACAGGCAGCCAATCAAAGCAAGGGCTTTTGGGAGGACGATCTGGCCCAAAAGAGGTTGCTAAGGCTCTCTTCAAACCTCCAATGCTGATGCTGGCCCTAGCTGCCTGCATTAGACACACAGGTGAGGATGATACATAAATGAGTGGCATACATAGATGTGAAATACTAAGAAATATAAAAATAATACTAATGGTAATGACAATAATATGTATTATTATAACCCACCCAACATGCTAAATAAAATGTAAGTTAGGTTACTTGTTTCAAAAAAGCTGTTGTGATTTATTCTCTGTAATACCATACTTATTATTTGTATATATAATTATTTACCTTCATATATATTAATTATACAGTGGTTGTAAATTTTTTATAAGGCCTCTATAATTATGCACATCATTTTGGTCAATCTTAAAACCCTTATATTAATTTTTATTTTAGTAACAAGCTTAGATATACAGCTATGTGCAACTACCATTTTATATTCTGTATGAGGGATTACAGAGTATAGATCAAGAGAAAGTTATAATTTCCTTTAACCCCAGGGAGGCGCTTGCCTTGACCCTTACACTGCTACTGCCTGGACTGTAAATGGAGGTATCAGCTATGGCTGGGCAAAAAAATATTCAAATTATGTAAAAATTATAATATTAAATGTTAAACAAATCTCCAACTTATTGGCTTCAGCATCATGAAAGTTTCATCCCAATATTTTCAGAAAAGGATTTTAGAATTTTTTTTTTTAAAAGAAGGATGTTATGTTGATAACGATAACAGCTCCTATTAACTGGAACTGAGGGATTATGCAGTAATAAAGAGATGCAAGCACCTGTCCAATGCACAAAGAAGAAGAATAGTAGTAAGATGTGTCCACAAAGTGGATATGCAACTGGTGCCTTTATAGCATTGCTGAGTAATACATAATAACACCAATAATAATGAGTATGTTATTATGCTCTTTTTTTTGTCTCCTATGTTTATTATCTAATTTTGTTGTAACATATTAGTTACACATAATAACCTATAGGTATGCACTCTCCAGGTTGCACGCAACCTGAAGAGTGCATACCCGTCCCTAACTATGTGGAGATAGAACAAAATTGGTCAACAAATAAATCAGTCACAAATAGCAGAACTTGGGAAATTTAATTTTTTGGGCAGATTTTTTCACAGATTTCAGTTTCTATTTCCTTTGTCTCTTTAGGTTGTTTTGACAATTAGGGACCAGATTAGGGCTTTATTACTTATATAAAGTATTCATTTTTATCCCTTAAATCATTATAATTATCCCTATACTGTATTTTGTTATAGGATTCAGCCATTCTGGAAGAAATTCAGTCATTCTTGGAGAGTGTCAGTCTCAAGGGTCAGCCAAGGGTGTACGTGAGTGCAGTATTTGCAAGCACACAGAATGAAGAAACAGGAAGCGAAAATTTATCTGTACGTGGTGCACTGAGAGCGAAGTCGCGCTGTGTACCATGGGCTACTTTATTGATTATTACTCACTTCCGAAGTACTGAGTGTGTAATACAGTGTTACTGTGTAAATAGTGTGTGAAACTGTACATATTGTAATTTTAGTGAATTTTTAACAGGTAATATTGCAACAATAAACATTTAATGTGGACACATGTATCACAGTTCCATGGAACATTATGAACGTTCTACTGTATACATATTGTAAAGGACACAAATATGCATCATATACGATAAAAAAACAAATAAAACTGCATTGGAAATACATGAAACAATTAATTGAAAATATATTTGTGGCAACACCCGGTGCTTGAATGGCCCGCGCGACCATGTCTGGGCGAGTCATGCACGGGCGACCAGGCCCTGATGACGTCACAGAGCATCTTGTCCACGTCCCTACAGCCAAAGTAAGTGGAATTTGGTACTTATTTTTACATAGACATGTTCAGGGAAAAGAATTTATCATTTTACGAGGAAAAAAGAATTTTTTGGGAACACTTCATTTCATGCGCACCGGGGGAATTTCTCAATAAACTCCGTGCAGCACAGTGGTTAAGGGTTAACCCTTAAACTGCACATGGCGTATATATACGCCCTGAGTAACATGTCCCATGGTGCGCATGGCGTATATATACGCCATAGGGTGCCAGGCCTGATTCAAATGGCCCGCGGCTACACAGGGTTCACAGTAGCTTCCTCAGGGCTCTTGTAAATAGATGCCATTTTAAAAAAAAATCGTGGGCAATATTCTCAGGTGTGAGAGGCACAGTACTGTTGGAGCAACCAAGGCCGGCGCACGCAGCATGAGCGAACAGCATTGATGTTCAGCTTGTGACCACAGCATCGCCGAAAAATGTCAAAATAAATATATAATTGTTATTATTTAGCGATGACAATATTACAGATGACCAATGACTGTGATATAAATAACCAGGGTTGTGATAATAGCAGGATTGTTGTAATAATTAGCGCTGTGGGAGGAGTGATGCTGAGAGACGGAGGGAGACAGCATCGTTTACTGACTGTGTGGCCACCTGTTATTGTTTGCATTCACCATACCAAGTCAGTGGTTCTCTATGGTGAACACAAATGTAGATACTTATATATAATGTGTGTATTAGTGTAATAACAGCAAAAGGATTATGCTGGGAGGAGCCATATGGGTGACGGAGGTGACGTCGTCTGCACGATTTGTCTAGCTGTTTAGAGGGTGGCCACTATGCTCTTTGGGCTCACTACAAGCTTAGGTGTACAGTTACGGTGCATAAAACATGTAGATATTTATATTTAATATGTGTATATAGGGTAATAACACTGCAAAAGGTATTGTTGGGGGAGAAAGTTTAGTGCGTGTGACCTTGAAAGAGTGAGGGAGCCGCTAGCCGCCATCTGTGTATAGCGATGACTCTTAGTGCCTGAACTAACTATATCAGCTTAGCTGTACAGTTGTGGTGAACAAAATATACACATACTTATATATAACGTCTGTATATAGTGTAATAACACCACAACTGGTATTGTTGGGGGAGAAAGTTTAGTGCGTGTGACCTTGAATGAGTGAGGGAGCCGCCATCTGTGTATTGAGACGACTCTTAGTGCCTGAACTAACTATATCAGCTTAGCTGTACGGTTGTGGTGAACAAAATATATACATACTTATATATAACTTCTGTATATAGTGTAATAACACCACAAATGGTATTGTTGGGGATGAAAGTTTAGTGTGTGTGACCTTGAATGAGTGAGGGAGCCGCCAGCCGCCATCTGTGTATAGCGACGACTCTTAGTGCCTGAACTAACTATATCAGCTTAGCTGTACAGTTGTGGTGAACAAAATATACACATACTTATATATAACGTCTGTATATAGTGTAATAACACCACAACTGGTATTGTTGGGAGAGAAAGTTTAGTGCGTGTGTTGAGGGAGTTGCAGCGAGTGGCTGGCTGGTGTGTGGCGGTAACTCCTCGCTGCTTTTCGACTCTCAATACTAACTTAGTGGTTCGTTATGGTGACCAAAACATGCCAATACTTATATATAACCTGTGTATAGAGTGTAATAGCAGCAAAACTATTTGTTCATTGTTTTATAAACATAATAATTGAATCACTAATATGCACATCATACTTTTGAGTATAGCGATTATTAACCACTTTTATTATATAAATATATTACAATACACACTATTGAATAATATTACTGCAAAAAAACTAAGAAAAAATCAATCGGAGACATTGAAACAGTTAGGTAATAATATCTTTGTGGCAACTCCCATCTGTCAACGCGGGTGATGCTGAACGGGTCTGACGACCGCTCTGTCAACGCCCACTTTTTGCCAGACTTCCTCGGTCAATTGCGCCCAAAATATGTCACCTACGATTTTTTTTATTTTTTCCGTGCTCAGGGGACACAAATTAACATGTTTAGAAGACGAAAAAAAATTTTTGAATTTTTTTTTTTCTTGCGCACAGGGGTGTAAATGTCCCAAGGACCCCTGAGCAGTGTGTAAGGGTTAAACTGCGCAACACTTCATATGACGTGTTGAATAACTGACACAAATTGCTCATCCCTTCATATGATATTCTGGAGTACTGCGCAAGATTGAAACGGGCTTCGGCTACACGGGAATTACATCAGCTTTCTCAGGACTCTTGTAAACAGACACCTTTTTTTTTAATCATGGACAACATTCCTGAGTGTGAAAGCCTCAGTACTGAGTGAGCCATCAAGGCTGGTGTATGCAGCATGAGCTCACAGCACTGCTGTTCAGCTTGTGTCCACAGCATCACCTAGAAAGTAAAAAATATATGTAACTGGTATTATTTAGCAATGATAGTATAAATGCACCTACTGGGGCAAAATAAAAAAATAGAATGGTGGGATAAACAAACCAACAGATGCTGTAGTATGGCCATTCAAGGATGAAGTATGTTCTAGGACATGGTTTTCAAAGAAGGTAGGAAGTGTGTTGATAAACTGTTTTGAAAATTTGCTTATAGGGATGTATGCTGGATGTTGAGCTTTGTGAGAGGCTCTGAAAACTCAAACTCAAACATGGCTCTCTCATATCCAGCCATAACACTTTTACTTCCTTATATTCATTGTTAAAATTTCCTGATACTTATTTGTATCCTTTCATGAATATTTAGGATTCCTCCTATATCCATCACTTATACTCTTTAATACCTTGTTATTTTCCTCGTACTTTCTAATAATCTTTTTTTACTTTTACTTTCTAATAACTTGTTATTTTTCTCTTACGTTTTAATAACAGGTTATATTTATCCCCAACACTCTTTGATATTATCTTACAGCCTTGCTTGATTCTTTCTAACTGTACCATTTATTGCAATCTTTCATTAGCGGGGTTCTCGTGGGCGTACAACACCCAGCTGTACTTCCTCACATACTACCCCAGCTTCAACATTGGCCTCTGGGTGATGGGCGCCTCCATCATAGGTGGTTCGCTGGGTGTTGCCATGGGTGGCTTTGTCTCCGACAGACTGGTCAAGAAGATTGGCATCCGTGCTAGGCTGTATGTATTAGCTGGAAGTCAGGTAAGATAAGGGAGCTGTGCAAAGATGTAAATAGTTTCCAGCAGATGTAACTTTTGGAAAGTTAGAAATTAGGGGCCTGTCTCATAAATGAATGTATAGGTTGAAAATATAATTCAGTGTACAAGGTACAGCCAGTAGACCTGATTTACCAGCTGGATTTATTGTACAATATTTATTGCTCACTATTTATCATGTTACCTAATTCTAAGTTTACTTAATTTCAAATCATGCATTGTAGCCAGAAAAATGTGATGTTTTTTTTATTAACAAATCTTGTTTGTTCTCCACTAATCAGCTGCTAAGGTGTATATTAATCACAAGATTCTCATTCAACATTTTTCCTCTCCCAGCTGATAGCGACACCCTTTGCTGCAGGGGTTTTGTTTTTCCCTCCTCCAGGTGCCTTCTTCAGTCTCCTGGGAGCCTATATCTTTGGTAGGTGTCTGATTATTACTGCCTTACTTGTCTTAGTTAATAGGCAGATGATGAGTCACAATAACATGGATGAAGAATGTTGACTAAACCACAAACACTAGAAGATCAAAAGACGACGACGATCCAGGACGGACCAAAATGTCGTTGTCTTTTTATCTTAGTTAAGGCAGATAGTGAGCACAGGGAAAGAGTAAGGAGGGCAGAGATAAGAGAAGGGACAAAACAGGTATTAAAATTAGGTTAGAGACCTGTTGATAGCAATGGAACTACACTAATAAACGTATAGAGCTGGGGCCAGATTTACAAAGCAGCTTACCAATGTTTTTCTTCTTAGTGCCTTCATAGCGGCTACGTCGGCATTCAGGTAGGCATACTAAGAAGGAAAATCTTTGTAAGTATGCTCCGTCGGTTAAGGTTGCTGTCGACCACTCGTTGCTTTACGTAAATTGGATATAACTCAATTTTTCTCTAATACACAACACTGAGGATCGATTTTATTATAAACAAGCACTAACTGGAGAGTTTCATCAAGGAGTAGTCCTTCGTGTTAATGATATATGCATTGTCTGCTTGAAACTTGTAGTAAATATGTCTTTTATGATATTAGAATTAGTTTTATAATAGCAAGATATTATACCAGTAGTTATTAAATAAATAAATACTGGTGAACATGAAATATGAGAGGTGATGAACCTGGGCTGGTGGGAGTATTTACTACCACCAAATGCCCCTGCTCACCTAGCAATAAGTATAGATAGGGGTGTACCTTAGCTATACATACCCAATTTTAATTTATTTTGTTTGGTTTTATTTTTAAATTAAATCTGGGTGAGACAAAATAAAAATATGCTGCACAAATAATGTTAGGTTAGAGTAAAAACTTCAAAACCTTTTCTCATTGAATACTTAACCCTTAACCCTTAACATGCTCAGGGTTTAATATCCTGTCATCCCCACAGGCACATGTCATTTTGAAAAAAAACAAATTATTTTTTCTTCCTAACCTGTTAATTTGTGTTCACTGATCATGGGAAAAATAATAAAAAAATCGTAAGTGGCATATATTTCCCGCTATAGGGCGGGGAAGTCTGGCAAATTATAGGCGCTGACTCAGCGTGCGTCCCAGGCGGTTTGTTGCTCGCAAGCTGTCAGGCCAGAGTTGCCACAAAGAGATAATTACCGAATTATTTCAATGTGTCTGATTGATTTTTCATACTTTTTTTGCTGTAATATTATTCAATAGTGTGTAGTTTGATATATTTATATAATAAAATAAGTGAATCATTGCTGTACTCAAAAATATGTTGTGTATATTGTTGATTCAATTATGTTCATCAATCAGTGAACAAATACTTTGTCGGTTATTACATTATAAGCACAGGTTATATATAAGTATCTGCATGTTTTGTTCACTATAACGAACCACTAAGTAGCTATTGTGAGTCAAAAAGTAACGAGGAGTGACCGCCACACACCAGCCAGACACTCCCGCCCTCCCTCCAGTCATCTGACTCGCCCACATTCTCCTCCCACAATAATGTTTTTGCTATAATTCACTATATACAGACGTTATATATAAGTATCTACATGTTTTGTTCACCGTAACTGTACATCTAAGCTTGTATGGTGAGTAAAGGCAGAAAGATGTAGCTACTTACACAGTCAGCTGATCGGCGGCTGCCCTCAAGGCCAGACGCACTAATATTTCTCCTTCAACAATACTGTGTGGTGTTATTACGCTATATACACACATTATATATAAATATCTACCTGTTTTATTCACCATACTTGTACAAATAAACTGGTATGGTGCCCAAAGACCATCGTGGTAACCAGTAAACAACACCGTCGTCTGCACAGTGGCGTCGTGCAGACAACGCCACCGCCCTCACCAAAATGGCGGCTCCAAACCTTCTCTTGCTGTTTATACCCTCTATACACACGTTATATATAAGTATCTACATTTGTGTTCACCATAGCAAACCACTAAGCTGGTATGGTGAGTGCAGTCAATAAAAGGTGGCCACACACAGTCAAAAGACATCGCCACCACCCTCCCTCCCACAGCATTACTCCTCCCTCCATGGCACACAGCGCTAAATATCACCACAATCCTGCTATTATCAGAACCCTGGTCAGTTTTATCACAGTCAGGGGTCTTCTGTAATAATATCATTGCTACATAATAGCATGAACAAGTATAATTTGGCATTTTTAGGCGATGCTGTGGTCACAAGCTGAACAGCAGTGCTGTTAGCTCATGCTGCGTGCGTCAGGCTTGGTTGCTCACTCAATACTGAGGCCAATAACACCCGGGAGTTTGGCCCATGATTTTTTTTTAAAATGGCGTCTGTTTACAAGAGCCCTGATGAAGGTGTGGTGAACCCCGTGTATCTGCGGGCTGTTTAAATCTTGCGTAGTACTCCAACACATCATATGACGTGATGCGCAGTTGACTGGAACAACGTCCAGCACGTCATATGACGTGATGCGCACTTTAAGGGTTAAACTGCTAAGCGGTCCTGAGGACATTTACACCCCTGTGTGCAAGAAAAAAATATTCTCAAATTTTTTTTTTGTCTTCTAAAAATGTTAATTTGTGTTCCCTGAGCACAGGAAAAATAATAAAAAAATTCTATTGTACTGTACTTACCAATGACGTAATTGAGCCAATAAGTTCGCCGATGATGTCACAGAGAGTGAGTGCTCAAGCGTGTTGCGTCAGAGAGCCGTCGCACACGGCGGCTCAGGAGGCCCGTGTTGCCACAAATTAATTTTCGTGTCATTGTTTACAGTATCTATGGCACATTTTACAATAATTTTTTTCGTTAGTATTGTTCCAATTATTGTCACTTGACGTTGTACTATAATAAAACTGGTATAAATTCACTATGTGCTCACATATTATTGTCACAAGTATACCCACCAATATGCTCTAGTTTACAGGAAATATACAATGTATTTGTTGTTTTTCAATATAAACACTAAAATTCACTTGATATGTACATGTATTTACAAAAGCATTAAACATTTAGTACTCCTGGAGACTGTGATACTGTGCAAAACAGTCGACATGGCACAGAGGGACTGCACATGCTTCGCACCATGTTAACACTAATTTACGTTTCTGTGGCCTCATTTTTGTGCTGTAACACACAATGCACCGACGCTGGCTTGCTGCACACACTCCAGTTAGTGGTAATGTCTTGATTTGGTGTACCAGAAAGGCCTCACTGTAAGCGAGCCTGGGTGCAGGAACATGGTCTAATATTGGGTCCTGAATGGGTCTTTGTATGCCAGGGGTGTCTTTGCCAAACTTACCTAGTAATTGTTTCTCAACTTGAAAACTAAACGAACAGAAATATGGTTTTCTGCCTGTTTTCACAAGATACATGTTGTAACTGTTCAGCATTGTTACATCAAGAAGGTGGAAAATCATCTTCTTGGTCCACTTCACTGTTTTCCATACACACTCTACAGCACCCACCATCATGTCACATTTATCGACTAAACGCATGTTGATGCTGTAGTCCATCACACAATCTGGCTTATATATTATATGTTTTGTTGTTCTGTTCACCTTGCCACTGTCCACCATTGTACCAGGGTGAATGGTGGTCAACATGTTCACTTCAGGTCTGTCTTTCCACCGCACTGAAAGCATTACACCACTTTTTCTTACCTTGCAATCACCTACTTGCATAACAGTGTCAAACAGTCATTTCCCTTCGTTTTGGCTTTACTGTGCCATACACTCCAGTTTTATTATCAAGCAAGAAGCTGGTTAGTAAGGGACTGGTATAATAGTTATCTGTGTACAATATGTGGCTCTTGTTCAGATATGGTGCAAGCAGTGCCTTCACCAAACTACCTGAGAAGCCATGTTGGTCATTAGCAGGAATGTCTACATTTGTAGCCGAATATTGATTGATTGATTCATGTGTAACACCATTCCTGATTCACAGTCACAGAACACAAAGAATTTCAATCCAAATCGGTGACGTTTTGAGGGAATATACTGCTTGAAGGCAGCTCGTCCTTTTATTTATTTATTTATTTATTTATTTATATATATACAAGAAGGTACATTGGGTTTGTGAGAATACATTGGATAGTACAGTATTTACATTCTTGTAAAGCCACTAGTACGCGCAGCGTTTCGGGCAGGTCCTTAATCTAGCAGATAATTTTAAGTAGGTAATTTCAATCAGAATTGATAAATGATAAAAATACATTACAAGAGAAAAATGAGATGAGAGAGATAAGTAAGTATATTAAAGCACATTGTTATATTAAAGCTCTGATTGATTACATTGACAGCTTGATTAGTAATTTAAACAAGATTAATAGACACCATACAGCAGATTGACAGCACATATAAGACAGCAATGATCACAATGGTAAAGATGTTCAGATTGGGTACATAAAGATTGGGAGACTGGGTAGCAAAAGATACAGATAAACAAGATTTATAAACACCATACAACAGATTGGCAGCACATATAAGAAAACAGCAATGATCACAATGGTAAAAATGTTCAAATTGGGAACATAAAGGTTGGGAGATTGGGTAGCAATTGATACAGTGCAATTTTAAGGCAAAAAGTGAAAAATATGAAGATGAAATTAGGTACTTTTTAGTATTGATTTTGAATGATGTAAAAGTTGGACAGCTTTTCAATTCAGTAGGGAGTGAGTTCCATAAACTGGGTCCCTTTATTTGCATAGAGTGTTTACACAGATTAAGTTTAACTCTGGGGATATCAAAGAGATATTTATTTCTGGTGTGGTGATAATGGGTCTTATTACATCTGTCCAGGAAGAGTTTCAGACAAGGATTTGCATTTAAGAACAGGGTTTTGTAAATGTAGTTGACACAAGAGAATTTGTGGAGTGAGATTATGTTTAGCATGTTTAGGGAGTTAAACAAGGGGGCTGTGTGTTGTCTGAAAGCAGAATTTGATATTATTCTGATAGCAGATTTTTGCTGGGTGATGATG